AAGAAAAGAATTACATGCATTGTTTAACAGTTTCCATATTATGAATATATATATATATATATATATATATTATATATATAATACACACACACATATATATATATATATATATATATATATATATATATATATATATATATATATATATATATATATATATATATATATATATTATATACATAACATATATCTATCTATCTATCTATCTATCTATCAATATATACATATATATATATATAGAGAGAGAGAGCAAATCGGACACTCTGGACCGCATATCCGCAAATATTAGACATCATATCGAACACATTTAACAAAAAAAAAAAAAAAGAAAACAGCACAAGGACCATTTGAGGAAACACACCAATGGACAATAAGAACTGAAATAGGACGCAAATCGTGCCCATTATAACAAATCTGAACATAAAGAGAGCAAATCGGATACAGTGGACCGGAATTCGGAACATAAGAACTGAAATGAGACGCATTAGACTTAAAATCGGAACTGAAGAACACATATCGAACACATTAAAACGTAATCGGAACATAAGAACATGTATCGGACACAAAAAACGAAAGGTTTTTGGCCATAAATTAGACGCAAAAATCGCATATTGGGCACGTTAGGCCGCAAATTGTGTGCCATTTAACCGCAAAACGGACACATTGTACTGCACAAGGTATACATAAGGACCCAGATCCTAATGTATCTATTATGCGGTACAATGTGTTCGATTTGCGGGCGATTTCGGCAACACCTTAATGCAAATATGTTATATCAGACTTCAATCGGACATTCCTGACCGCAAACAGGATACATTTCCTTACAAATCGGCTACATGAGATCACAAATGTCCACATGAATCAGCCACACGACACCACAAATTGACCACATGAGACCATAAATCAGCGGCATGAGACCACAAATCGGCCAAGCGAGACCACGATCAGCCATATGAGAATTGTCCACATGAAACCACAAAAGGACCACATGAAGCCATAATCGGCCACATGAAACTATAAATTGGCCACGTGAGACCACAATCGGCCACATAAGACTACAAATCGGGCACATGAGACCACAATCGGCCAAGCGAGACCACGATCAGCCATATGAGAATTGTCCACATGAAACCACAAAAGGACCACATGAAGCCATAATCGGCCACATGAAACTATAAATTGGCCACGTGAGACCACAATCGGCCACATAAGACTATAAATCGGACACATGAGACCACAATCGGCCAAGCGAGACCACGATCAGCCATATGAGAATTGTCCACATGAAACCACAAAAGGACCACATGAAGCCATAATCGGCCACATGAAACTATAAATTGGCCACGTGAGACCACAATCGGCCACATAAGACTATAAATCGGACACATGAGACCACAAGTCGGCCAAACGAGACCACGATCAGCCATATGAGAATTGTCCACATGAAACCACAAAAGGACCACATGAAGCCATAATCGGCCACATGAAACTATAAATTGGCCACGTGAGACCACAATCGGCCACATAAGACTATAATCGGGCACATGAGACCATAAATTAGCCACGTGAGACCACAATCGGCCACATAAACTATAAATCGGACACATGAGACCACAATCGGCCAAGCGAGACCACGATCAGCCATATGAGAATTGTCCACATGAAACCACAAAAGGACCACATGAAGCCATAATCGGCCACATGAAACTATAAATTGGCCACGTGAGACCACAATCGGCCACATAAGACTATAAATCGGACACATGAGACCACAATCGGCCAAGCGAGACCACGATCAGCCATATGAGAATTGTCCACATGAAACCACAAAAGGACCACATGAAGCCATAATCGGCCACATGAAACTATAAATTGGCCACGTGAGACCACAATCGGCCACATAAGACTATAAATCGGACACATGAGACCACAATCGGCCAAGCGAGACCACGATCAGCCATATGAGAATTGTCCACATGAAACCACAAAAGGACCACATGAAGCCATAATCGGCCACATGAAACTATAAATTGGCCACGTGAGACCACAATCGGCCACATAAGACTATAAATCGGACACATGAGACCACAATCGGCCAAGCGAGACCACGATCAGCCATATGAGAATTGTCCACATGAAACCACAAAAGGACCACATGAAGCCATAATCGGCCACATGAAACTATAAATTGGCCACGTGAGACCACAATCGGCCACATGAGACCATAAATCAGGCGGCATGAGACCACAATCGGCCAAGCGAGACCACGATCAGCCATATGAGAATTGTCCACATGAAACCACAAAAGGACCACATGAAGCCATAATCGGCCACATGAAACTATAAATTGGCCACGTGAGACCACAATCGGCCACATAAGACTACAAATCGGGCACATGAGACCATAAATTAGCCACGTGAGACCACAATCGGCCACATAAGACTATAAATCGGACACATGAGACCACAAATTGGCCACAGGAGACCATAAATCGACCAC